ACTCATCTCACAACCCATCGTGACGCGAGACTGTAACATCAGTATGTCACTATAATTTAACCTCATCCAAACAAGGGAAAACACTAACCCTTCACTCGTACAGTACTTTCCCTGGTGGTACAGTGTGGCTCTTGCCCTGGTTGATTTTTAGATATTCAGGCTTCTTGCTTTTCCCTTGGGTGCTGCCCACCTGTGCTGAGCTGTCCATGCAGGAGCATGTAGACTGAAGCTCTCTCATTTCTTCTCCAACCATCAGGCCGCTTGGTCGATGCTCTCAAGAACTACGAGGTGATCTTCTACCTGGCGGGCTCAGAGGTGGTGCTCTCTGCTCTCTTTCTGGCCATGGCCACCTACTGCTGTCTGAACCGAGGGAAGAAGAAGGAGCCTCCCCCAGAGAAGAACCTCTCTGCGGGTGGCGGGAGTGACACTGAGGAAGCAGAGTCTGATGTGCAGGAAGCTGAGGAGCACAGCAGCGACAACCACCAGCCGGCTCACAGCACTGACAACGCTGTGGTGGCAGCCAGCGAGGAGGCCAACCACGTGGCAGAGGAGCAGAGCGGGGAGGGAGGAGGGTGTCCCGAGGGAGATGGGGAGGTGTTGGCACGAGATGGCTGCAACGCTGACCAGATGGTGGAGAGGGACAGTTTTTAGCCAGGGCAAAGGAACAGGGATGTATAAAATGGGCCTTGTTCGCATGCACCTCAGCGTGGGAGGGCAGGTGGGATATGGGGTGGAGAAAGTGGAGACAAAAGCAGGTGTAAGAATTAAGAGGGACAGGTATAAGAATAGTTGGACCTTATGTACCTATGTCCACATACCTACCCAGTGATATGTCTGCTTGCATCCTGCCCCCATGCTGGTACAACACAGGCTCAGAGCAGCCCAAATACCAAAAAGAAAAAAAAAATAATCTTCTTTCCTCACTTCCAGACCAGCCTGGGAGAAAGTCTTTTGAAGAGGCTGCCAAGGACTCTCCTTTTCCTTCTGCATTGTCACAATACAGAACACAAACAATTAGAGACTCTTTGTAATCAGATCTGGTACGCTTTGGTCTGGTGTCTGTGTTTCCTCCACCCCACTTCCACGGTCAGGATAGCACCAGGCTAGCTGGCCGTAGGTTTAGGAGGTAGTGTAATTCACAGGTATCATCCAGGCCACCCCTGGCTGCAGCTGGCATGGGGCTAGACCCTGCATTCCCTGCAATGCCTCCCTCGGGCACTGCCAAACCAGTGGGACACCAGCTCTGACCACCTCTGTCTGAAGCATCTTTTGTGGGTGGTAAAGCCCGGGCAGTGAGACATGATGCTGCTTTTCCAAGTAGGGAAGCGCTGGGTTAGAAGCTGCTGTGGAGGTGCGAGAGAAGACACCTAAGAAAGACTAATGCCATTAGGTGAGCAGCCACGAGACGGAGCCTCACCGACAGGAATAGCAGCAAGCCAGCTTTATTTAGGCTGAATTGTGTCCTGTTGGCATATGAAGGGAACAACTTGGCCCTATGGGGGTGGGGGTTTCAAAGCAGGTAAATAACCATGTCCCAAGTGATTATCCACTCAGTAGGAATGGCACCAGACACGTGTGTGTTTTCCTTTTAAATAGAGAAAGTCCCCTTATGTAAAGGAATCAAAGGTAAGGCAGAAGGACAAGCCACATCCCTTGGGTACCACTGAGGGTGCTGGAGCACGTGGTAAGGCAGGCGTGACCCCCTCACCTCCCGCTGCAGTGGTGGATTTCTAGATTCAGCGAGGACAACCTTCCCTGGCATGCTTAAACCACTCCTAATCTGCTTTAGGACTGGATCTTTTATAAACACCCCTGGCCAAAGCCCTTTCTTCCGGTTTCCTGAACTGCTTCACCTCAGAGGCCCTGGGGGAACCTGCAACTATAGCCAGGGATCAAAAACTAAGCAGAGGGCTATAGGGAAGGCAACTCATGGGACCATCAAAACAGGTATTTCATTCCAGACCAGACTGACTACAAATTAACAGGTAATGGGCAAAGCCTGCAGTACCTGTAAAGCCATTTAAACCCAGAGGGGGAGCGGGGACATGAAGGAAAGGGATTCACTTTAGATGCTTTCAGGAAAAGAGCAGCAAATGATGAGCAAAATAAAGTTGCTGAAGAATTGTCAGTTTAAGAAGAAACATAAGGACTGGAAATTGGAGGGGAGAAGGTAAAGCCCATAGGGCTGGCTGTGCCCTGTCCCACCCCATGGCTAACACCACTGTTGTTAGCTCTGATTGTGATCCAGCCACAGCAGTGGCTTTGCGATTTTTCCTATTAAAACCCACTTAGAAACATCCCAAATCAAACTAAGCACCATGACGGACCCCAGATGCAAAGCTCTGGGAGAATGAGAAGCAGCAGTAAGGGTGATGGAGCCCTGTAGGCATTTCTTCACTGCTCCACAAGCTTGCTCTCTCATCCCCATGAGGCAAGATCACTGTTTCTGCTCTGCTTGACCAACTTGCTCTGCAGCTCTTTCCCCAGCAACCCCAAACCCCTGTCCCCCAGGCTGAGTTTTCCTTATTCACCAGTACCCTCTCCAAGAAGCAGCTCACAACTTCCCAGAGGTCCAAGGTCTGCAGTGTGAAAACAACTGCCCTTCTCAGTACACCAGGCAGGTCACTAGAACAAGGTCCCCTCTGTTCCCTTGTCACCAGTCAACATTTCCCACTAAGCCTCCCGCTCTTAAATCTTTTCACAAAAGCATGTAAAAGCCCTTAGGGTACAAGATCTTGCTATGGACAGCGCTATAAGATTCTCAGACCTTTCCCTTCCTCTCCATCAGCTCTTCCTTCCCCTCCACCAGTCAGGTTGCAAAAAACCTGGCTACGCCGCCTTCCCCTTTGCACCAGTCAGGTTGCAAAAACCCTGGCTACGCCGCCTTCCACTTTGCGTTGTTGGCTTTCAGGCAGGCTCCACTGAAGCATTTTCTCTGTTCCTCTTAACTGCTCCATATTTTGGCAAAACAAACAGCTCTGAAAGAGGATCATGGACTTAAGCATCAGCTCAAGCTTGTGATGCAACAGCTGAGCTGTGTAGAGAAGCTGGCCCTGGAGAGGTGCAAGGATGCCACCGGGCAGGACTGAGGCCACTGGTGGCTTTACAAGGCTGGTGTTCCCCTGGGAAGCCGAAATGCAGAGAAGCTGGTATTACATGGTAGACTGGCCTTGCTACAGTATTTGTAAGCCTCCTCCTCTGGAAACCTGTGCTGCAGTGAGCACCGCAGCTTGGCATAGAGATCATCCACCAGTATGAGCAAGAAAAAAATGGCCAGCACATGACACCCATCTTCTCATCACTATATTTTAAGATTAAAACCAATGGAAGATGAGAAAACAAATGTCAAAAGTAAATCCATGAAGGACAGGAAACGAAACATCGCATTTTTCTTTATTAGAGATGACAGTCAATGTATCACAGTCCGTTTAAAACTTTCAGAGCAGCTTTACCACAGATGGCTTTCTTCCAGGCACCCAGAGAGATGACGAAACTCCAAAAACAAATCAAAGAGAAAAAACAAACCAAAAAAAAAATCTCGATCATAAATTAATGCCCTTAAATAACTTCTCTCACTACCACTAGAATGCAATGCCAGAGACGTCACAACCCTTGCCTCTGAGAAGCACACCACTCCTGGCAGTCGTGCTGCCTGCTAAACGAGAACGTGCCATCTGCATCTGGGATCAGCCCGCAAGGCTGGATGGAGCAGAGAAAAGGCAGGGGGGAAAGAAGCAGCCTCACTTACCTTGGTTTTCCTTTCCCTCCTTCCCTTGTGCTGGGAAATGGGATGTTAGCTATCGCTTCTGGCTGGCCCACAGGCAGCACAAAATGGTTGTGCAAAGGGGGTGGTAGGGATGGTATGCTATTCTCGCATGGCACTCAAAATCTCAAAGTCTCTGCCTACAGGCCATGTTTTCCCCTCTCCACAAAGCTTACTGTCTCGCCTCTCTAGTTTAAGGATGGGATATCTCCTTTGTGGTTCTAAGGTGGCTCCTCCTGGCACCTGCACAAGAAAAGAGTGTGCAGGACTGGCTGCACATCCTCAAGAACCACGTTTGGTTACTGTCCAACACATGGAGCTGTAACAGAGGAGAATGATGGGAAGGAAACACATGCAGTTCTGCTGTTATTCCCAGGAACCTGTCTGCCTCAGACAAGCACGTTCACCCCAGCATCTCTGCCGAGCAGCAGGGCTCCTGTGCCAGGTCCCTCCTTCCCACAGGGAGAGGGTATAGCTATGGAGTGCGCAGACAGTGCCAGCTGTGCGAGAGCTCAGGGACTATGAAGAGCACGGCGGCCAGGGGAAGAGACTTCCAAATCCTCACAGCAGGGTTGCAGCAGCGCAGCATGCCAGGCAACTAATTCCACCAGCCCCTGCTTTAAGAGCTTCCCTCAGCCCTTCGGATGGGATGTGATCAGATCACATGTTCCACCACCAGCAATATGGCATCAGTTCAGACTTGCTCCTATTTCTTAAAAACAGTGGCAGAGAGAGCTGGGAGTGGTGGGAGCAATCATCTTACAAAAATCGGTCCTGCAGCCCGTGAGGACAGATGGAAGAGACAGAGGAAGCTTAAAACAGGCCACAGAATGGGAAGCTTGAAGACAGAAAGCAATGGGGTGAAAAAACAATGCTGGTGCTAACACTTTCCCATAGCACAAGGGGAGAACAGAAGGGGCTGTTCTTGCCATTCGTAATCATCTCCAGATGTTTAACTGGCTTCCATGTGCCAGAGGGGAGTGGTGCATCTCCCACACTCAGCAGTGTCCTGTCTGTACACAGAGTCACACAGCAGTGTGGTAGGGGATTTTCCTCCCCACACCTCAGTACCCAAGTTGGGCAGAAGTCTCTGGAGGAAAAGGGAACATCCAGGCAAATAAGCAAAGGAAGAGAGAGGAAAGCAGAGGTTGGTCCCAATCCAACCAGCCACCCCCACCCAAAGCAGAGAAGGAATCTCAGGCTGGACACACAGAGAAAGCCACGGAGGATGAATCCTCATGTGAAATACATGTTTTCATAACAGTCTGCAAAGTCCTTCCTCTGGCCATGCTGGCACACTCACGCATCATCAATGAGCTTTTCACCATTTGTGTCCTCCTTCCCGCTACCCTCTCTCTCGCTTTCTCCTTCTTCTTCTTCTTCTGCCCCATCTGTGTATGTGTCCTTCTGCCCATAGTTGAGAGTAGTGCGGGCAAGGTCCACCTCAATGGGAAAGACATCCGCATCTCGGAGCACGGCATAGCAGTCATCGTAGTACTTAGACATTGTGGAGACAAAACGTTGGAGCTGGAACACGATGTCTTGCACTGTAGCAGAGACAAGTTGGGAACAAATCAGGTGAAAACTCCCTTCCCAAACAGTGTGAAGGCTGCAGTCAAGCCTCCCTTGCCAGCATTAGACACAGTCTCCTACGCTTTAATCCCTTTTGGCCCCTGAGGGTGGATGTCTTGGGCACAGCCATGGAAGGGTTTTTCAGCAAAGACTTTTGAGCTGAGATGAAGGAGAAGCATGAAGGCCAAAGCCACGTCTGCCTGACCCCTTCAGGTGCTGGACAAAGCAGCCTTACTCACCATGTTTCTGGTCCAGGAGCTCTATTTTCTCTAGCACGTCCTTCCTCATCTTGGCAAAGCGTGTGCGAGCCTCCTGCCGGCAACGAAGGATAAGGCGGTATTCATAGTTGCCAGTGCTGACCCGGTAGAGGGGTTCACCCAGAGCCTGCCAAAAACACAGCACCACTTTAAAGACTCCCGCAACAGTGCTTGCACACAGAGTTTGCCTAGTGATGTGGACTCACAATGACCTTGGCTTATTACAGCCCTCTCAGGCTCACAGGAACTGCAGTCAGGAAACATGAAACATGAGGAAGGCTGAGCCATGTCAACAACTGGCAGTCAATGGGGCCATTCTGAAGGGCAAATACAGTTAAGGAAAGCATCACTACAAAGCAAAGACAAGAGGACAGGCACCTTGCAACCCAGCATGTAGAAGTGGAATGGCTTCTTATCCAAACTATTAAGACAGGCACTATGAACAAACAAGTCTAGGATCTGAGGAATATATTTATTTATATCAATCACACAAAAAATTCTGCCCTCCTCTGCAAGCTTCACCCTATATTGATTGCATGACATATTATATATCTACACAGGGAACCCTGTGGTATCTACAACCATCCAGATACAACACTGGAAACCAGCAGGGATGGACCTGTAAATTGTTCTGCAAAATAGTTTTGAGAGAAAGGGATTAGATCTGTCAGCAAATAGCATTCTTCTCTTACACCTGTAACATAACATACATAAAAATCCGTGTTATGGCTTGGCAATGCACACTGCATGTGCCAAAACCCAAAGGTGTTACTCTGCTATGCAAGACTGGGATAATTCCCTTCCCATTTAGCAGGAAAGATATAATTAAATGATGTGTTAGGAAGTTTTATTCCTTCCTGGCACTGGGATCTAGGCGTTCCAAACAATCAAATTCCTGCTCTGAGGTCAACACCTAGGATAAAACAAGATCTTGGTTTTATGCAGGGAAACTGGGCACAAAGGGGACAGCTTCATCTATCTTAAACAGAGATGTTTAGGATTACAGTTGTAAAATTCTAAACCAGACAGTCAACTGTTACTGGAGAAAATTGCCAGTTTTTTTTTTTAAAGTCTTCTGATTTTAAATTACCTATTTTTACCAAAAAACCCTACTGTTAAGAGAAATCCTTTAATCAATTTTATTCAACTACAAACGCAGCTTTCACGTGCATTTTGCTGTGGAGAAGCTAAACCTCCATTTCTCAAAAACAAGTCCAGAATTAATGGTAAGCTGTACACTACACACAAATGGAATCTGTGAAGATAACACTTTAATCCTCCTTACACAAGCTAATATTACTTAAACACTGAGACAGGCAACCACTGAGCAAACAAGCTGCACAGGAGATGTCCGGTCCCTCTACTATTCCACAGCATAGTGATTCATGACAGTTATTGGCAGAGTTTCCCAGGTAGCATTTAAGGATCTCCAATGTCTAATATGTTAAGAACAAACATCTGTAATTCTTAGGATGCATTCACTAGTTTGGGTGCTCACAGGCACAGGAGTGGTTTTGCAATTACAAGGCAACGTACATGGGGAAGCTGCAGAAACAGAGTATGCCGTTGTCATTGCCACAGTACTGGTACTCACAATGCAGCTGTACTCTTCATCATCCATCTCTTTGACTTTCAGGCAGTAAGACTTCGCAATATTAAAAAAAAAACAAAAAAGGCAAAAAGCAAAACAAGAAGGAAACATTAAGAATTAGAAGCAATTTCATTATCATGCATAGCCATAAGGTTATACCATTTCAAGCCTTCCTTCAGTGCTGTAGCTGGGGACGCTGGGGAAAGCACAGTGGGATCAGAGTATTTTAAACATCCCAGGTGGGAAGAAAATCTATTTAGAGAAAGACGGGGAGAGAAAACAGTGGGGGAGAAAGAAGGCACTTATTATTTATATTACAGGAGCGTATACCTTGTACAACCAAAGTAAGAGAAAAATCCTGCGTTGATCTACTGTTTGGGAAAACACAGTACTATGAAAGTATGAGGAGGCAATAAAGAGAGGGAAAAAAAGGATGAATTGTAGGAAGGACTGATGAGGGAAGAGATGCTGCCATATTCACTTGCCTTGGGGCTGCAGCTCCAAATACTTCTCTAAATTGGTAAAAGGAAATAGATTCCCACAGTTATAAAACAGATGCACTTAACAACCCTACCCTATTTTTTGAGGTGTAGAAAAAAAGGGGTGAGTGGAATAGAGAAAGGAGAAAAAAAGCATGGTCTAAATGAAAACAAACATGATTTGACAGTGATTTAATGTGGCTAAAGAAAGACTATTTAAAACTACCTGAAAAACATGGGCTCTGAGGCTGGTGAGCTATTTAGGGGATTTCGAGAGCATGAGTTGCACAGGAACTCTTTACGATTAAATAAGGAAATGAATTTGGTCATGTAGAAGACAAGTTCTGGGAGATGTCTCTTACCAGCAAGAACTATTGGGTCAAAAGCAGGTGTCTGAGTCTGAGTAATCCAGCAATAAACAAAGAACTGGAAAAAATAATGCATTCTTGCATGGCTTGTGGAGTGATGGACGTGTGATTGCACAGGCTATATGTGACCCTCAGGATATGATTCTAGGAAACTTAATTTCAACCAGCACTAAAAAAAAAATAAAAGAGCAACTCACCAAATATTCAAACTTGACATCCAAGTATTTTTTGATAGTCAGTCTTGTGTCAGGAATGGCTTTATTCAGATACGTATTCAAGTCAGTAAGCATCTGCAAGGGAAATATCCTGTTGCTGAACTAAGACCAAAAAGCATGACAACAATTCATCAAGTGCAACCTTCTAATCAGCACAGGTCATGAGACTGCCTCGAGTTAACTCTTTTTAACTAGAGCGTATCTGAAAGAAAATATTTGATCTTGACTCAGAATCGCCATGGTTAGAGTATCCATTGCAGTCACTGGCAAGTGGTTCCAGTGTTAGAAATGCCTCACTTCCAGTCTGAATTTGTCTTCTTTCAAATAATCTTGTTTCATTTTAAAGTAGTCCTGGAAACTGCTCTCCCTGATTCAGAGGCCCGCCAGCCAATGCTGTCCATCCAACGTGGCACTTAAAGTGGTGCTCAAATCAACATTTAATACTCTCTTTGCTAAACTAAGTAGACAGATCTCCTGGACACTCTCACTCAAATATATTGATTGAAATCCTTAAATTGTTCCAGGACTTCTTATCTAAATTCTTTTAAATTTAGTGACATCTTTTAGTTACGGGTACCAATATCAGGAAAAGGGCTGTAGGGACTACAGTGATCAAACTACCCCCTCATCCCCAAAATAAAAGGAGAGGAATATACTCATGTGCAAAAGTCAAAGGGACAAGATGCTACGCTACCTCTTAAGTTCTTTATGAAGAGAGTTACCTGAAGGAAAGCAAAGACAGTTCTTCCCACAATGAATGATGTTTAAGACAACACCTTCAAAGACAGGCTTCTCTCTTACTAGATTCCCCTCTTCTCAAAACCCTTTACTCCTATGGTTAAATTCTTTACCGGCTTAATGGTTTTCAGAAGGTGAATCCCAAACTTCTCAATGTTGCGATGGGCATCAGCAAATTTCACAAAGGCTTCACTGGCAGCTGGTTGAGGCTCCCGTACACCAATGACAGAGAAAACGTCTCCAAATGCTGCATGAGGGTAATAAATACCAACAGATGAAAGAGGTTGACCCTGGAGAAGAATTTTGCCTCCAATATTACAACTCCTTCCCACAACCTTGCCACTAGCTGGTGAATGATGCTGCTACATGTTCCCTAAAGACCAGAGACTGGCAGGGCATTTCTTCAACATCTCATGTGAAAGACAGGCCTGTGTTAGCACCATGACTGCTGAGGCCAGGAGAAAAGCCCTTCCCAGCTCATTTCTGCAACATTTAAGTTTTCCTTGAGTGAGGGAATCACTCATCTAAGTACTGACTAAAACTCCTGAAACTGGAGGTCAAAAGATTTCTGTTCCCTTCCCTCAAGATTATTTACCTCTGTGTGTCTGGGATAGCTCAAAGAAAGCCCTGAGAAGACTTTTGGTGTGCTCAGTCAAGCCTGTGATGGAAGCCAGAAAAAAATACTTAAGTATATTTCACTGAAACACAATGGAGGCATCCTTCTCTCCCATTCGGTGTCTGATGAACAGTTTACCTTTGTATAACTCTGCAGTCCTCTCCAGCTCCTCTAATCTCTTCACTAGTCCATCTAAATGGAAACAAGAATCAGAATACAGAATTACAGCAGTCAAATCCAGGACATTGGTTAAGACTTGACTGACTGGAAAAACAGTTTCATATTTTTGGTTCAAATTTCTGTCACCTCTAAAGCCTCTACCCTCATACAACACGGAAAGCTTTTAAAATAACTGCCAACTAGTTTTACAGTGGCATCATCACCTATCAGCATTCACTAAGCAGGTCCCCACTTTAAATTAATTTGACCCTAGCTAACATTTAAATGGCCCCAGTGACAGGATATATCACTCAGGAAGGGCAGAGGCAATCACAATAATGAGGTATAGCAGAAGGGAAGAATTTTGAAGGAATAATGTGGAACATGCAAGTAACTACAAAAAGCTGGTAAGCACAAGAGGGTAAGTGTTCCCTTAAGAAAACGTCCTCCTGGGCAATACTTACCATTGCAAAGTATGGCTCGACTTAACCCCAGGGCATCCGCTGTCCCTGAGCTCATGTTCTCTACCAGTCGATGCTTTACCTTCTTCAATACTAAAGGCCAAAAGAGAGTTGCAAACCAGGATCAGGGTAATTTCCATGGGCATGGAAAGCACACTACCATACTTCACCACTTTCTCAGCTATTGAACAAACTGGCCAGTCTGAACTTAACTCACTATTGAGGCAGCGAGCAGAAAAAGAATACCATAGAAAGCAGATGTTCAGTCCAGCCGTGCATAGCACATCTTCTATCTTCTGTCTGTTCTGCTCTCACATCCCATATACTTCAATCAACCGAGCTTCAGTACTTCTTTTGGAAGACTATTACAATAAATCACTTTGCTATAAGCTAGCTGTCATGATATTTTGAACTAAACTTTGCTTACGCTAATTGCTGTATTACTTCAGCTGAAGTCAGGAGATGAGGCCGAAAGCAAGACAAACAGGATTTAATGCTCAAAGTTTTTTGCTTACTTTTATCTTTTGGATCTTAGTTAGCCCTTTTGTTGCCTCTTGATGGAATTAATTTCTGTCTTTGGTGGTCATACTCTGCAAATTACTAGAGACAATTATGTCCTCTTTGGAATCAGATGACTCAGTAACATTTATTTAGAGGCAAACTTGCAGGGGTGCCAAGTCCTGCAGCTCCCAAGAACTCAACTGGAGCTACAGTGTTCAGAATCT